AGATGAACATCAAGTTTATTGAGGCCATGCTAGCTTTGCAATGGCTCCAAAGGTTGGCATTGGACAGTGTCAGAAGGGCCCAGTTGTTTCTGGTAGACGTTGAAGAGCAGAAACCAAACCGATGCAATTTGGATGTGCTCGCAAAGATCGCAAAATCATGTAAGACAAAAGGTTTGGATTACTTTCCAGTCTGATGTGAAAAGCATGAAAAAACGCTCTGAAACGGGTAAGACAAGTGAGGCTCCGATCTGGAAAGTTTGTCACTTAGATTGAGACGATGAACGCATTTCAGTTTCCCTGATGAATATTATATATAAAGATATGATATGGGCCTGATATTGGACCACAGAATGAGTGTTTATTCTTGTCCTCCAAGTTCAAAAAGGGGCCAGCAGTGACTGAAGGTATTCAAGTCAGCAATTTTGGGGAGGCTTAGAGAGATTGTAAGCAGTAAGGGTGACCACTGTCTTTGGCCAAGGCCTGTGCTGAGGTGACTGAGCTGGCCCTGGAGGCCTTTCTCTTGATGTGCACCGGGCGATAAGCTTCTCTTGGTATGCAGTACGCATGGTGCTTGTTGTTTCTTTTGCTAAGACATAATACCAACATGTACCCAACAGAGGTACAGTAGTTCTGAAAGCTCATCTTTAGCGATTGCATGTCGAAGTGATGCGAAAACCAAAGGAGAAGAACTTTGTCCGCGATCACTTCGCTCATGCTGTGCACTGCTTGGCATCGGTGGCTGGTGAGCAGACACAGGCAGCATGCTGCGGCAATGGTCAAAATCTTAGGTCGCACCAAATCCCAAAAGTCACAATCTGTGACGAGATACCAAAATTGGTGTCTAAGAGACTCTGGGAGGAAAAACGCAAGGGGGCCTTACCTTTTTGTTTTTCCCCGCTTAGACCCCTAGAGAGGTATGACAATACATTGCTGTTGACAGATTTACGTAATTATGCCAAAGAGTCTGATTATTATAGGCTTTGAGCATTTTTGAGCCTTGCAGCATGTGTCATATTCCGTATACCATATTATATCATATATCATATTAATATGTGTTCTTGATACTTTTTGTGCGTATTGGCCCGCAGGCGGCCTTGATCTCTCAGTTGATTTCATCACCGGAGGCTAGGCGCAGCTAGGTTGAGGAATCAGGAAGGAGTTTCTCAACGAGGGACTTTGGCACTCAACTGTCGAAGCTAGTGTTATCGACGTTGAAGAAGCATGAAGAAATTACCTGGCTTGAGATGCTGTCAACATCTGTCAACCTTTGTTCATCTAATGGGGATCAATACAATAGTGTATACACTACGTGCTGGCCTTCCACAGCTTACTTTGCTCCTAAAAGCAATGGCGTCCAACCTGATAGCGATGGCCTCCAACCTAATAGCAACTACGTGCTGGCCTTCCACAGTCTGGCTTACTTTGCTCCTAAAGTACCAGGTCAAACACGGAGCTCCTCGGCTGTCGGCGGAGAAAACTCTGCAGGTGTCGGAGACTGAGCAGTAGTCCTGGCACGGATGGGCATGGTAGTCCTGGTATGCAAAGTTGAAGTGAAAGTGGACAACTCGAGCTTTGTCCGGGTGTAACAAGATCAGACTCCCACTAGCCGCGGTTTGTTAAGTTACAACTTGCGACTTCTAGGGTACCCCTTGGAGGCACCCTCCAGCTACAGACGGGGGAGATGGGGATAGAGAAATGTAACTTGGAATGTGGCAGGGTAGACCTACCCAATCTCTGCAAACGCGCGGAGGCACAACAAAGGTTATATAACTCAGTTCCTGCCTGCCACGTCTGAAGTGTATTTTTCTTGCCTGGAAGACAGGTTAGATTCACGTTTCATCATATTTCATATAATGCATTTCATTTGCTACTTGTAGACTCACGTGGAAGTTATGTTTTCAGACTGGCAAAGTTACCTGGTTTTGAAGGTGATTGTTAAAACAACACTACATCAGCATTGTGCGAGCATTGCAAATGTTTCTTGGTCACTGGAAGACGACTCCGCTTCCGGCTTGTCGTTCTTCCTCTCCTCATCCCCGGGTATGTCCACATTTCACAATTGATATGTAAGTTATGTAAGTGAAGTGGTTCCGAATTCAATACAAATCGTTTTTGGGAGCTTCTTTGCTTTTGGAATTGACATAAAGGGATATTGGTTAGCACGACGTCTATGTGCCCTTCCAATATTTGCAGCCAGACTGCGATCAAGAATGTTGCGCATGTGAGAACGCCTTTTCGGACGATTTGTTTTGCCAGCGAACAAGGTTGCACGCGGCCAGTATGATGGATCTGAAGGACTCGGTCGTGGCCGCAATCCCAGCTGGCTGCCTTCGCAAGTTTTGGACATGACCAGAAGATATTAGCTTGTATTAAGATAGGGAGACCTGTCCTCCCAAAAGCCGTCCTCAAAATTAGAAAATTGACCAAAATCCATCGGTTGGGGGTCTCCCTATTAAATTACACACCCAGATATATGAGAAGATTGATACTAGTAACTAGGACATAATTTGTTGAAAGGTGTGTCCTGGATCAACAACTGTTGGAATGACACGCTCCCGGACCGATCTCTTTATCCGATCCCACTCATTTTCCCCATCGCAAGAAATGTCAATGGCACAGGTGACTGTGTTGTGAATTGGAAAGTTGGAAAGGAATGCTGTGAATCTACAGGCAGCTGATGTCAGCAAACAGCATGAGGTGAATGTCGCGGAAAACGCAAGCAATGCACCATTTGATATCATCTAAATTTGTAGTACCAACCAGATACAGTACTTCTTTTCCTGAGATGCTTAAGAAGGCTTTACAAGACCAGGTTTGGGAGTTCATTGCCTATAGAATTCTATAGTGTACTGTAACAGGTTTATGAACCTACAGCAGAGAACTTTCATTAGTTGGAGTGTGGGTCACTGTTTGCTTTGACCAATGATTGCGTATGATGCTGCTAAAACAAGTTTTGTGCAGCTCTCAGCTCAACGCTCAGTTCCTCAGCTAATTATGGGCAATTGAGAGGAGCTTGTTCTCTTGAAGTGACCAGCTGGAACAAAATGAGCAAGATTTCCATAAAATGCAGAAATAGCTGAGTGCAAGTGCCTCTGGGCAAACTGACATTGCGTGCTTTTTTCTTGGTTCCCGTTCAAAGAATGGCACACTTGTTCAACAGGTTGTGTCTACCCTTCTGAGGCTGACTGGGAATCACAAGCAGCACGCTTGGCGCGACAGATGTGTGGTCCCAAGAAGGTTTACTCAAGTTCCATAGACTCCCACATCATCCTACAACAAGATGCAACCAGCGCGTTTATTTTACGGGCTTACGCCGCACGCCCAACAAGCGGGCCAGCAGGGGGCCCAGTGGCAGGCGGCAGAGGGAAACAGGTGAGAGTGGTGGTGGTAGTTGTGTTTGTTGGTGGTGTTGTGGTAGTAATTAGTTGTTGTGGTTGGTGTTGTGGCTGTGGCTGTGGTTGTTGTGGTTGTTGCTGTACGGGTACCCCCTTCCTTCAATATTGCTCAAAATGACCCCAAGGTACGAGTTATGCAGCGCAAGTTGTCTTGCTTTTTTGGTATTTTCTGCTTTTGGATTCTGTTTCTGGCCAGAGCAACAACCACCACCACCACAACAACACCAACAACAACCAAAACAGCAAGTGTAAATTTCGGAACATCACCGGGCGCGCCTCCAGACCTCCTCCCTAGTGGCCCTGGGAGAATACCGGGGTATTATGCCTGTGGTATATCTGTGGTAGTCCAAGCGCGCCTCCAGACCTCCCCAGTGGCCCTGCGGGATTATTTGTGAATCCGAGACAAGGGGCAGCGACCGTCCTTGCCATGGCGGGCAACCGCCTCCTACGGACGCTTGTGCCACTGACCATCGTGGTGCGGGGCTACCTTCTGACAGCCATCATTTTTATAACAAAGGTCACGGTCAGGTGCCCGAAGACGATTTTTTGTAGAGGACAGGTTGCCGAAGAGCAGCATCGACAAGTCTGCAAAGACTATTTTGAGCAAAACAGCCACAAGACACGCCGCAGGCCGGCGGATCTGAGGTACCATGAGCATTTCGTGTAGCCAAACAGCGATGTTTGTTCAATTGGCCACTGCTTGCACAAATGGTGTACTGGGATCATGTGCCATGTTTTGTAGGTCATACATTGCGTATCATTGCGTCATCGACTTGATTCTAGTCTCTCACAGATTCTTTCATAGCTCTTGCATTGACTAATGCTGACTAAAGCTGGAATCGAGGTCGCTTCCAGACCGACGAACCCTGCGCATTGTCCGTGCCTAAACTTGATTTTGATGGAAATTGTTTCGTTTGCAATAAAGGTGACGGCGTCCGTCCGTGTCAGGTTAGCATTTGTGGTGTGCGTTGCAAGACCTTTACGGAAGAGTGTTGTATGTTGCACTGAAACTTCGTGTTGTCCAAGATCTCCGATGCACGGCCAACCGCATCCAAGCTAAAGACCGCCATGGCCCAACTGCGTGGAGCTCAGGTACGTAGACTGAATTGTGTAGGACCATGTTGGAAGGGACTGGGATGCTCTCCAATCAGAATCGCTTGCCAGTGCTGGCAGCATGTTCCTGGGCAAACATTGAGTAGAACATTTGTCAGAGACGATTTGTTGTTTTCTTTCTAGACCATCGCCCGAGACTCTGGAGCAATTGTAGCATTTTGGCTGTAGTTGCACAAACCATGGATGTGCAAAGAACTCAGAAGTGATGTACTCCAAAAAGATCAGCTTGAAGCCATAACCTCGGCAAGATAGTGCCATGAGCTGTGAGGCAAAAGGTACACGATGGACATGGGCGAGTCCTCCGACATAGTAAGAACAAATCTTGCCAAAACTTCAGGAGCCTGCAAAGTTTCTCACAACCGCTCTCATGCTTTGGGGTTTTCGGATGGACCATCTAGCTTGAGTTCACATGGCTCAAGTGTGGCAGACTGTTTGGAGCTAGTCCGACAAAAGGCTCCAAGAAAAAAGCTCCAGTGTAAAGCTCCATTGCATTTAGCTCCGAGGCTTGTCACACTTCTCCGTTTTTCGCTCAAGCCATGGCCATAGAGGCGTCTCAAGCATTGATTGCGCGGAGATGTTTGAAGTTTCGCCCCTTGGAGTTGGCTGGTTCTAGTACTTAGTGGATTGTATGTTGTAATATGTGGTACTGTATTGTATTTAAGACTTAAACAATTGCCGTTCTCCATGACTTGCAGCTTCTTCCTTTTGGAGTGCTTTTGATTCGAGGTTTTATGATGCATGATGCCTGGGAGAACGCATTGTTTGTGCATTGGCCTGTCCCAGCAGAACGATTGGCAGAGATGTTGCCAAGGTGGACAAGAACCAACGGGATGGAATTAATGTAGTCCTCAGATTAATAAAGACCCCTAGAATTATGTCCTTTTTTTCCCCTGCACTGATTAATAAAGGCCCCTAGAATAATGTCTTTTTTTTTGGAGGGGTTTGTTATAGTTTACTTTTTCCCTTTTGAATTTGCTGGGATTTGCTTATCTTACAGGCTTTTGGATTGAGATGTCTATCAAACATTTGGAGATTTCCATTGAGATTTGATTCTTTTGGAGGCTTTTGGATGGAGATTTCTATTGAAAATTTGGAGATTTCCATTGAGATTTGATGCTTTTGGAGGCTTTTGGATGGAGATGTCTATTGAAAATTTGGAGATTTGCTTTCCAAAAGTCAGTGCGCACTTTCTTTATAAAATCCCTTATTTAAAAGTATTGAAAAACAAAAAAAATCATTCAAGCAAAGGGGGTAGTCCAGCAAGCAGCTTTCTGATATTATTTAGGGGGGGCCCCTAGAATAATGTCTAGAGATTTGAGGCTTTAAATCTTTATTCCTTTTCTTTGCCTTTTGATTTGCTTTACTCACCCTCTATTCCTTATTTACTTGTCCTAAGCTCTTTAGTTGTGAAGCTTTCCAAAAGTTTCCAAAAGTCAGTGCGCACTTTCTTTATAAAATCCCTTATTTAAAAGTATTGAAAAACAAAAAAAATCATTCAAGCAAAGGGGGTAGTCCAGCAAGCAGCTTTCTGACATTATTTAGGGGGGGCCCCTAGAATAATGTCTAGAGATTTGAGGCTTTAAATCTTTATTCCTTTTCTGTGCCTTTTGATTTGCTTTACTCACCCTCTATTCCTTATTTACTTTTCCTAAGCTCTTTAGTTGTGAAGCTTTCCAAAAGTTTCCAAAAGTCAGTGCGCACTTTCTTTATAAAATCCCTTATTTCCATTGAGATTGGATGCCTTTTGATGGAGATTTCCATTAAACATTTGAAGATTTCCATTGAGATTTGATGCTTTTGGAGGCTTTTGGATGGAGAT